TATATATATATATATATATATATTGTCTATTATAATAATTACTATAAATTTTTCAATACAAATCATTAAATTATAATTATATTTCAAGGTAAAATTGCTTAATAGTATTATTTTATTAATCTAAATAGTACTATATTTCCTCAATCTTTCTAATTACCTGTTATAGCAAGAAAGAAAAATATTATTTTGTAAAAAACGGAAAAAAGAGATCTATCAATATTTAACAATAAGAAATATTTGAAATATTAATGTATAAAAGAATCATTTGTAAAATATGATTTCAGCGCCATCGTAAAGCGTAAGTCACAACTTTCAAATCTTCCAATCCTGCAGATGACAGGATTTTGAGATTTCAACTAAGTACACAAGTCCATACATGCTTCAGTTGCGTGAAAATTCAAAATATAAGTTGGTTGGCTTTGGCATTCGAGTATGTTGTGTTACTTCTTAAAAGTGAGAAAATGTGAACGTCAATACACAAAGTAAATGTAAAATTTAAAACTAAGAAACAATACGCGTAAAGAAGTTATGTAAATTAAAGTTAAAATTAAAATTTGTTGTTACAATCTCTGTATGAAAGGAGAACGCTATATGTTAAACATACATCTGTAAATATTCCAGTATAAGTTTATTCTATAAACGTAGAACATGTTTATTAATAAGGTTAGGTTCATCTTGAAACAAAGTGTCTCGTATAAAAATATTAATAAATCGTGCAATCTTCTAATAATTGATAATATCAATAATTTTGAAAAATGTTCAGTACGAAACAATTTTATATATCTTCCGTGCGAGAGGGAAAAAATCAAGAAAAGTTATCCACTTTTATTCATCATCCCTTGCGTTGTCACTGGTGTCATTGCTTGGAAAAGGTAACCTAAGAAAATATTGCCGATCTTTGTTTATGAATGATGTTAAAACATAGACACTCAATTTGATAATCAGAATCAAAAAGAAATTGCAAATAAAATGTTGCTTTAACACGTTTAACACATTGGTTTTAAAAAGCCTCATATTGACAAAGATATCAATATATTCAGCAAGGATCACATAAGGATTCGTTTTGATAAATTACATAATGCCTACATATACAAGATTCAAGCAAAATAATGGAAACACTTCATACAAAATGCATATTGCTTTGTTGCAATTGTTTGCCTTTAACTTGCTCATATTGAGATTATGTTTTGCCTTGAATTTGAAGATTATTCAAACATCTTAGCCTACATAGTTATCAGACTTGAATATTATTCAGCCACTATGGTTCAGTTTCAAAAACAAAATTAGAAGCAAATCTTGTCCTCCAGCCTTAGTTTTAGTTTTAGAAGAGTTTTAGAAGATGTTAGATGAAAAATGGCATAATGTCCCATTAAATATCATTTTATCATTGAATCTATTCTAAGAAGAATCCAAGCTGTATTGAAAGCCAATGGCAGTGCTATGCTGTGCTATTAACAAAGAACATTCTAAGCAAAATGAGATATTTTCATTATTTTGTCCAACCCTTGTATATATTTAAGTGTACATCATAAGATTGAGGAGAGTTTCATGATATGTATCGTTTCTCACTGTCAATTTTCTATTTCATTTTTACAATTTATTAAATGTATAAAATGATCTTACTTTTCTTACATTTTTGCTTCAGAATGAGACAAAAATATTTGACCACAGTCAGTGCAGCTGAAATGATCACCGAGGAAGAATCGAATGACGAAAATAAAAATGAATTAGTAGATGAATTGCAAGAAGACAAAAAGAAAAAAAAGAAGAAGGAGAAAATTGGTTTCCGTGATCGGAAGGTTAGTAATTGTATAATTATTCACCTTGTTCTATGTAACAATTTAGCTCTTCTTTTATACTACTAGTAAGAAAATATTAATATTTTTTAATTGTATAATATAATAACATTAGATAATTTTTTGATTTGATTATTAAATAAGATAGGCAATTAAAAATAATAAACACGCGAAAAAGCAATTTTTAAACAGATGTTAAATACGCGAAATAAGTAATTTCTTTTTTTTTAATTATAATTATTTAATTGTTAATATTTGTTATGTATTATTATTTCGAAATATACACATATTTGCAGATTATAGAGTACGAAAATCGTTTGAGAGCGTATTCAACCCCTGATAAAATATTTCGTTATTTCGCGACTGTAAAAATGTCGAGTTTAGAAGGTACCGAAGTTTACATGACTCCTGATGACTTCTTGAGATCAATTACACCTGGCATGAGACAACCAGATGGTATTATGATTTTATTTTTAGTTTATGATTTCTTTTTACCTTTTTTTTTATTTTTATTATAATATATCTATTTTTATTTCTAATTGACATTTCTCTTTTATATTTGCGTGAAACTAACACAAATTTACAGTTTTTGCATTCTTGTTAATACCAAACTAGATATAGTTAGCCATTTATTTATGTGCCAATATTAATCAATATATATTTGCCTTCCCAAAATTGAAAATTGTTCTAAAAAAGCGAATTTAAAACTGATTGACAGTATTATAAGATTTTTATCAGTATTATAAACGAATAAAATAAAATTTAAAATTAGTATACTATGAATATTACAAAGGATTACGATCAGCAATTAGGGTACAATTGATAAGCGGAGGTTCTACATGAAAAAACAAATAGAACGAAATTGAAGAATGAATAAAGTAAATAAACTAAATTTACTTTAAGTCGAGTCCTTTTAATAAAGAATTAAAATATCACTAATATTGAATTGAACTCTACAGTTCTTATCGAAATTTACTTCAATTTAAAATATATTTCAAATCGAATATTATATAATATTATTATATTATTATATTATTATATTATAATATTATAATATTATAATATTATTATATTATCTTTCTATTAAATATGTGAAAAATGATTTCCTATACAGATAATAGAGTACGAAAATCGTATAAGACATTATTCTACCCCTGACAAAGTATTTCGTTATTTTGCTACTCTGCAAGTGATCAACAACGACATCCATGAAATCTTTATGACGCCTGATGACTTTTTAAGGTCAATAACGCCTGGTATCAAACAACCGGACGGTAATTTTTCAATAAAATCGAACTATTATATATGTATGAATCTCATTATTTACATGATACGTTTTCCACTCAACAAAGAGAAGGCTGGAATGAAAAGAAAACAAAATTATTAGCTTCTAGATTGAGCATGCAAAAGTTATTCATTTGCTTCTAAATTTATTTAAAATACTATCATACAGCGTTAGGAAAATATAATCTATTAAAAAGAAAGAATAAATTACTGAAATCATAAAAAGTTCCTAAATAATTTTTGAATATCTTGCAATTCCCTGAAAAATTTAGCTTAATACCATTGTAGAAGGCAATTTGTTAACATATTTTAATGTCCATCTTCTTCTTTTGACAAAAAGTTAATGTTTTAGAAATTCAAATAGGAAAATTAACTAATTAATTTATTATACTTGTTTAACAAAAATTACATGTGAAGAAGAAAGATATTGTATTTTTTACAACATTTTTTAACAAGTATGGGAGACATTTAGTAATGTGGTAAATATTATTATATAAATACAAATAAATGAATCATTGTGTAATTGAAAAATAAATAAAATATATGTAGAAAAAAATATAAAAGAAAGAATAAAGAAAAAATTTAAAAATTATACTTTCTTTTATGCATTCAAGATAAATTTTCTAAATTTTTGTTGTCTAGACAATCAATTTTTCTTTTTTACATTCACAAACATTCATATATAAATATATTAATTGCATGCAATATTACATCTTTTTACATAATTTGTGCCGCAATAAATTATTTCATATCTCCCAGATTACTTATCATATAATTTTTAATTTATGTTAGTGGTGTGAATTTATTTTCAGGGCTTGGTTTGGACAAATATAAACGCTACGACCCTAAGGTAAATTCAAATTCACAAATATTTTAATTTTTAGAATAATTTTTATGATAGAAATATTCAAATTTATAATATAAGTTCTTTATGAAAAAAAAAGTTTTAAAAATCTATTTTAGACTGGCAGAGTAATTGTCAGGAAGTTTTATAGTAAATGTTCAAATACTTTCAAGAACTGGTATATATTTATTTAAATGTTAATTAATATTACACGTGCATACAGAATATTTTTTTTTA